AATGATTCATCTATAAATCACGATAATGAATAAAATCATTATATTTAGTTAATTACCATCTAGTTGTAAGTTATTATTAAAATCTAGTTTCCCACCAGTAATTATTCCTCAGAAATCATATTTTATTCAATCTCTAAATATACTGAGCTGTTCATAGTGCTATTATACCTGTGACATTGTAATAGCAAGAGTGAAAATCAAATCAACTTTCTGCTGACAGAATAAGAGTAGTAAATGTCAAACCAATGAATATAGAGTGGGCATATGTAAATGGCCTAGAAGAGCAGAAGGGTTCTTAACATTTCTCATTTTAAGCACAGATCAACCTGAGTTTCACCATGTGAAAGACTCTTATATGGTTCATTTGCACTGGCTGTAACTTGATCAGAAATCATTTTAAAAAGGGTTTCCTATTCTTGCTAAAAACTAAGCAGTGGTTAAAAAATGTCCAGCTTGACAAGAATAAATTAAGAACTGAGATAATACAAAGATTCCTTTCCATTCAGTAATATGACAGCTACAGTCAGAAAGATGGGAATTGGAGAAGTGAGGCTTTTTGGCTCTACTCCATTCCCACCAGCTGCTTCCTCAGGAACTGGATGTGACCTTTCAGTGAGGACACTTGTCCAGGAAAAGAGGGTTAACTGTGACCTGTTGAGCCCTCCAAAAAGGTTTGGTGACCTGACATGGGAGTGGGTCCTTCGGGCTCACTAAGCTCTTAGTCCTCAGCAATCTGTGCTTTTGAGGAGAGATGTGCCCCAGAGCAGGAGACACGATGTGTGCTCAGTGCCCACTCACTCTGCTCCCTTCCCTATGGACACAGCACGGGGAATGGTGCTGTGGAGAAGACGTGCCTTGTGGTACATGCCCCAGATGTACATCTGGATTCAGGCAATGGGAAGTAACCCCAGGCTGAGGACGAATAATCTGCTTGTTTGGTTTCTATTTGTTCTGGAGACCTGTGTATACATGCTGACTGGCTCAAATATATCTCTCACTGGCTTTTCTCTGATGTGACTTCCCATGGTTTGTCGTGCTGTTTTTGTCTTTTATTTTTCCTGAATCTGGTAATTAAAACCGTAAGAGGTGAGGTTGGCTCAAAACAACTCAAATGGTTACATGCAAAACTGATTTTTTGAGAGCAGTTCTAAAATACTGTGTCTTCTAAAAACCTCTTTTATGATATGTTGAAAAAGTAATCAAGTTCTCATCTGTGGCTGTCTCATCTATCAGTTTATTTTGATTCAGATGGAAATAATCTCTGTTTATTTGACTAAATACCCAACTTAGATACCTGGTATTTTTAACAAAATAATTCTGATAGATAGTCAACTACAGGAGAAGATGTTGGCTAAAGAAATAAGCATTGATTCAACAGAGAAAAAAGAAGAAAACGCTTGCATAAATTAAATATATAATAAAACATCTGAATATTGTTTCCTGAGGATGTCCCAAGATTGATGCCCTCTGTGCATTGAAGAGATCATCAGAGATGAGATTAGATGTTCATGTAATTCAAGAAATTGGACAAAGTATGCTTTCTGTCTTTCAATATCTTTCAGTCTTCTCTGGACTGAAATGCAAATAAAACTTCTGAGCCTTTCCCATTGAATAGATAGGACTGAATAGATGAAATCAGCTTCTGTTTCGGAGCAATCAGTCCTGACCTGCTCAGTATGGCTTGGTCCCTGTCACAGTGCCTTGTGCTGAGCACACCAAACCACCCTTTCTTTAGGAGAGTCATTAAAATTTCCTATCTCTCTTTCTTACAGTTCAGTGCTATTCGACAAATGTAGATAACTTTCTTTAACGGTGATTTTAATACAGTAAGGATTTTAAATTACTTGAGCTGAAAAAAACTGACATTTTTGTAGATGAGAATGTCTTCCATGAATGTAAATTAAAATCACTTAAACAAATGAATTCTCTATTTTATGTAACATTAATTCAAAGAAAGCACATGACACAAGGATTAATATTCAGGAGACTTCTTATTTTATTTTATTGTATAAAAGTAATTACCTTTTAAATACTATCCAAATTAACATTATAATATTCCTCTGGGCTTATACATTTTAAAAGCATAATATAACTCTGTACCTAATACAGAAGAACCTTATTTCCTTTTATGCTAAATTAGTCTGCTGTATAAATTTGAATAATTTGCAATGCAAGTGGCAGCAATTCTCTTTTTTACAAATAAGACTCATATTACAACAAAAGACACTCAGCATTTTCAGTACAAACCACTTAGAACTTGAGGAGCTTGATTTCCTTGTGTCTGTATTTCTTAATAAGCTGTTTGTGGGACACAGTATTTTATGTTAAATATCTTTATCTTTTACTAGACCTCATCAAGGTAAAATATATGACCAAAAATGGAGTTGCATCTGCTGGGACTTTTACATACTAAAAGTCTGAGCTGACTGAAATAACATATAGAATTCACTTTTACCTATTAAAATTATCAAGAACATCTGATTGGTTTTGTATTGTATGTAAATATAGTTTTTGTGCTTTCACATAAATTTTTTCATTAGTGTATCTTGTGATAATAAGAAAAACTTTCTTATTTTATCATTGCATTTATATTTTGCTCAGGTCTGAAGCAAATTAATCACTTTCTCATATGAATAAAATTAGGTAATTTCGCAATAACTTTTCAGTAAAATCAAGGGATAGCTAGGAAAAGGCTTTAAGTTTTTTAAAAAACAGATCAACCTGGACAGGGAGCAGGTAGTGAGGGAAGGGCAAGAAAGATATAATCAAGGTGTAGTAGGCTGGTTCACCAAATATCTCAGTGGTCTGTTGTCCCCAAGAATGTATAGGGAACAGGACAGGCTGGGGTGGATAGGGAAAGATCAAAGGGTTTGCACATTTTTTTAAAAATTAATTTTATTCAATAAAACTGACAAATACAATGATATCTACCATAAGGCAACCCTGTGAAAAAGCAAACTACTCACTGTCACACCCCAGGACAAGATGCTAGAAAGGCATCTTCTGCAGATCCAGAACAATGGGTACAAACCTTATTTCTGACATCATTCACTCTGCTGGTTTTATATCTACAGCCTGGGGACTTGCATTATCTCAGTGTGAGGCAGGTTTGTGTGCTGCCCTTGCACTACTGGCTACAGGAACTATTGAAAGCTCAACTCCTTATCCCAATAGGCCATCCAATCTCTTGACTGCTTTTGATCAGCCCTATTTTTTCTCTAATCCTCTAAAATACTGTGGGCATTATTTGCCATTATTGAATACGTCCTTAGCCTTGAGTGACTTCCAGTTACTGCGCAGGTTAGTGCGTTGGTTTGAGAGGGGACAAACCTGGCAGTTACAGCTGGAAAAAAATGAGCTTCATCTTATATGACAAAGCATCAGTATTCTGTAGTTCCCAATCTTCTCTGGGTTGTTTATGTGTCTGAAAATTCCTGGATGAAAAGCTCTTTATGGAAAAAAACAGGTAGAACTGCAACTTTATTAGGTCCGTGATGCCACAACCTATCCTAAAATATCCTCATAATTTCTGCACAATTCTGGGAATGTAAAAGCATTAAAAGAAACAAATTGTTTATCAGGTAATAGTAGTTTTATTGCCTTCTTTTCGTGAGGCATTACCATTCTAAAATATGAGGGATGGATGTGTGTGTTATATATCTGTATAGTTATATCTAACTAGAACTGTAGCTCCCTAACAGCTAAAAGCTCTTTCTGATTCTTTTGCTCTCCATTAAGTTTCTCCTAAAGCATACCTTTTCACTTAAGCTTAAAATAATGACATTTAAAAACCCCAAATTTTTTCACAGAAAAATTTCATTGGTAGCATTTTTTATTTGGGTGGGGGTTTTAATCCTTCAAAATATTCTCATGACATATAATTTTTCCATTTTGCTTCAAGTTAAGGTTTTGGCACAATATCATGAACAAGGAAAATGACTGTCTAATTCATCAGGGTAGAACTGATTCATTGCCCTTGTGAAATGGACATGCAAGTGAGACCATAAAGCTTGAAAATGAGTTTCAGAGTAGGACTAGTGCCCTTCATTTTAAAGTTTGGGTTTTTTTAAAAAAAAGAAACACTTTTTTTTTTTTTTCACTGTTACATTTATGGATCTATCCTCTCCCTTTCTCATTAAGTTCAGTTATAATATTATCTACCAGGGTAGTTTTGCCTTCAGCTGTTTCTCTGAATGCATTTTCATGTAATACAACCAGAAATGGTCCATTTGCCATTGACAATAACTGTCCCATTTCCTGTTAAATACTTTAGACTAAGCAAATAAAAAGCATTTCTGAGTCATTCCATTGGGGAAATAAAGCAAATTATAGGACTCATATTGCTTCAAATGCAGAGTTCATAGTAATTAGTTTTATCAGTGAAATACTGAAAAGAGCCTTTCTGATCTACTACAATGAAAATATGATACTCTGGTGCTCTCTTGCGTAACCACAGAAGTTATCTTAGGGTCTCAGGATGGTGTGTAGAAGATGAGTTAGGCTCTCTGTTCTAGGTTTTACATAGGCTTAATATGTGTTGATTTGCTTCCCATACTTACCGCTTGCCAATAAGAAATGAATTGGCCTGTCCTGGGATGCCTGGCTCCTTATTCAGGTAACTGTTGTGACCTTGTATATTAACTTAAACAAAGGAAATCAAAGCCATAATGCCATATGGAGTCAGTGGGTGATTTACCAAGCCACATTTTGGTTGAACTGCAAGTAGGAGACCATGTTATCACAAATCACACAGCTGTGGAAATAGAGTGAGTGCTCACTCAGATGTACCTTTAAGGAAGATAGCCTTTAGCAATGGGATATGCCACTGCCTTGTGGATGATATAACCATGCGTAGTTTAGAAATTCTGTGGGGAAATGGATATGAGAAGCCCCCCAAAAATTTTTTTCAAAGGCATATTTTAAGAATAATCTCTTGAATCAATTTTTCCTGGGACAAAGGGATGTCTTTTTAAATATAGCAAATAAATGGCAGAAATAATGCTTCTTAAACACATTTTTAAAAATAATAAATGTTTTATTTCTCTCTCTAGCTACCCAGTAAGACAAAAAGCAAAGTACTATGGACATTCTCCAGCCTTTTGTACTTATTTGTCTTGAAATTATAGAAATTTGTAAATTGGCAGGTCATGAAAATTACACTAAACCAAAGCAATCATATTTGTAAAATAGATGTGGTGTAATACATGTGCGTTCTAATTCTGTTCCTTGATTTTGTCAGAGCCTAACTGAAAGCAGCTTTTTAAAACTATTTGGGAGAACAAACCACATGTATGTTAACAAGTAACAGACTTAGTACAATAGAACATTTTTGCAAAAATTGGTCTTTTATTGTTCTCAATCCCATTCCAGGTGCATAGCATCTCTAACACAAGCCCTGAAACTATCCACAGAGCCAGCATTTGCCTGAAAACCTCTTTTTGTAGTACACCAAAATACATTCAGTATCACTGAAAATCCCTGAATATTAATGCTAATGTTATGATCCACAAGCATGGTAAACATACAAATACTCTTCTACATTGTTTAAATCTGTACAATGCTCTATCTTTGAGTTTTAGTTGCATGTGTTTTTTTCTCAACCCTGTGTGCCAAACTCTTATTGCTGAAATGGCTTGGCTTTCTCAGGCAGAAAACTATTTTCATTTGTGTATAGCAGCACTTTCCTTCATAACAAACAAGATGTGACTACTTCCAACAGAAATGTATTAATGTAATGTATCGAGCTCATGGAGTATTTTTAGCACATTTCCATCAAAAGAAGATGAAGCATGTTTCATAAATCTATCCAGCTCTTCAGAAGCCAGCTCTTCATTTTTCTTCTTCCTGTTCTGGCTTGGTTTTTTCTGGCTGCTTTAAAGCACATTTGGTCATGACTCTTTTTCCCTGGAGAAATCAGAACTTCTCCTGTATTTAAAAAAGAGGCTGAATTAGATGAGAAATATCCTGGAGCAACTAAAATTTCTGATCCATATACCACTGAAATATTTCTTAAGAGGCAATTAGATCATGTCTACAGAGATAATTCTCAGAGGTGCCATACAAAGGAAGAAGCTGGGGGAAAGTGGAGCACTCTGGGGGCCTTCAGTCCTTTGTGCTCATTATATTTTGGGTTCTTGTGAGAACTGAGGAAGTTCCCGGTCCATTTTATGCAATTCAGTGTGAAAAGCCTAAAAATATTTCAGAAAATGTAGGTGGTTTTACTGAGAGCCCTGCATTTGGCTCAGCCTGGTGGCAGCACTACACGAGCCACTGCTCAGGGGGACCTCACGCGTGTGAGAGAGGGAGGAAGGAGCCAGAGCAATAATGAAGACTTCTTCCTCAATTTCATAAAATTGTCTGTAGACAAATAATGACTGCAAAAGCTTCGCGTGGAAAATGCAAATTCCTGCTTCTCTTCCCAAGTTTGTTAAAGGGAAGAACCAATCTTGTACAGCAACCAGGCTGAAATGTTGTGACAGAAACCTCTGTGAGATTGCAAACTGGCTTTCAGGGCATCCCATGTCCAGTTTTGCCTGCATGTAGCTTTACAGACAAACCTGCATTCTCACTTACTTCAAGTATTTTATTACATGAAAACACATCTTTGCAAAAATTGATCTAAATTAAAGGATGGCAGGTAATTACATCCAAGTTCAAAACTACCCAGAATAAAATTTTGGACTTTATATAATTTGCCCTTAGAAATGTTATTGTCTGTTAGATATCATGTTAATTGGATGAGCAGCTTTTTAAAAAATACATGGAAAAAACCAAACATGTTATTTCATTATTATGGCTAAAAATTTGCTTTTATAAATCTTTGTAATTCCAGACTACTTTAGTTCTGGTGATTATTGCTGTTTTCTGGGCTGACAGGAGATTATTCTGGAAAGAGAATACTAATCTTGAAAAAAAGGTGTTATTTTTTAGCATTAACCTTATGTGTCTAACTGAACACTGGATTCTTTTTCTTGTAACAACAAGTAAAAGGTCCTTAGCATGATTTTCACTTGCTGCATTTACTTCTTTTTTTTTAAGACAGAAATAAAATTTATGGATTTGTCCAAAATATTTACTGTATACAAGCTAAGAAAAAAAAGAAGTATTCTGTAAGGAAGAGAGAGGCTCTTTGAATCTTTGCAGTGAAATATCCCAAAGGTTTCAAGTTCTCTGTATGTGTTTGGTACCTACCTTACTTTTATTTATTCCTGTTATTTCTTCAGTATCAGGATAAATATTTGGGCTTCTTTAGTGCCCTTAGCTTGGAGAGGCAACAGATATCTTGAGTAGGCCCTCTATAACATATCAGTACACAGAAGGTGTACATCCTCCTTACAGCAAACATGTTGTGTTTAACAGACTGCAAAAACACAGCAACTAGCTACAGCATTCCTTAGAGAAAGTCTCTATTAATTAAATATGAAAGCAAAACAGTCCCTAAAATTGTTGGCAAGTAGCTCTTACTCAGTTTAAAAGCATACCATTAAGGTATTAATTTCTGTATTTCTACAAAGCACCTGCAATATTTTGTCATTGTGCTGTTTCAGTCTTCAGATTACAAGAGTATCATCATTGGTTTTACCTACTGAATGGAGCTATTTTGATTTTGCAGCTATTGCTGGGACGTAGATGTTCATTTAATTTGCCTGGTTTTATCTTTTCCTTGCAACCATGTTCAGGATGGTAGGTTTGACTGAAGAATCTCTGCTCTTTTAACACGGGCCTGCTGAAATCCTGGTTAATTTGGCCAAAGATGCAAAGTTTTCTGAGACAATAGTGAGCTTATCCAGATGCATTCCTCTATGTTTTTCCATGCTTTAAAACACAGATTCTCCAGAAGGGCTGAACTAAGTATATTACAGTGGTTTACTCTCTTCTCTTGCAGAAGAAAATAAGTATATTGTAAACAGAATTTTCTGGAACTAAAAATACCACACAACTACTGAATTAATGAAATATTGTTGGTTTTGACTGAGTAGAGAGAAAACTAAAAGCAAAATATTTATTCACTCTGGTATGTTGGTTTATAAAACTGCATGGTCTCTTCTGGAAACTTTGATAGATTTGTATGCTTTTTTTTCTGAACTAACTTGACTAGTTCTATGCAAATGATCACAAATGACAGAAAAAATTTCAATCAGTAAAGTCACAAAGTTATAAATCATCAAAATATTATCTCCAGCAGCAACCATAAATTATTATCTTTAAGAAAACCCAGTATCTCAATGGGTTTTCTTTTGATTGCAGCAGTGAAAAATTAACCTGGGAATCACAAGCATTTTTTTCAGTTTTCAGCAAATAAAAGCCATTCTGCCCTTTTGGAAATATGCCTTTATGAGAAGGGATTTGGCAATATTCAGCAGGGCAGCTGAACAGTGAGTGTAGGGAAGGACAGGCCCGCAAAATGTTTAGAAAGTGGGCACAGAAAGCAGTACTAATTCACTTCAAACTCATGCTGAAGCCACTGTTTAACACCAATAACTATTTAGAAATTTAAAACGATGAAGAGTTTTTTGCACATTGTAAAGTTTGCTCTTCTAATGCAGTGTTTCTTAGGCTACTTTTACATTTACTTACTTGAATCCATCTCTTAAAAGAAATAAAGACCTAGTTCTCTCGATTACTACCTCCTCATTCTTTGAAATAAGGGGTGTCTTCTGTTCCAAGATATTGACAATTTTGCACATTAAGACCATTTTAAATTTTCTCCCTTCTTTTTCCCTCTGTCTTCCTGAGCAATACTGTTTTAAACGACAAAAACTGATTCTTAAGCAAAGTGTGAAGAGGATTTGATGACACATTGATCTTGCACATTTTCTGAGATTATTATAATTTGAATAGTTTTTCCTGAAAGATAAGAAGATAATATGAAAAGTTAAGGTTATAGCTAGGGGAAAGCAAGAGAACAGCACTACTTCCAACACCTTCTAGTTATGTAACTGCAGCATCTTGGTCAGCAATCAAAAAACTTAATAATGTTCTTGTAATGATGCTGCACTGCCTGGAGCAGTGGCTGTCTGGAAAACTATTTTTCTGCTATAAATCAGGGGCAGAGGGAGGGAACGGATGTTGCCTGCATTAATTCTAGTATTAATTTGGTAAATAATTCACTCTTCTATGTCTCATTATTGATTTATTTCCCACTGTTTGACACATCTTTCTGCAGGTGGTTCTAGCTAGTAAATCTCTGAACAGAGCATGAAAGACACTGTTTTTCTTTTCATTAAACTGAAACGTGAAGCAATAGATGTATAATAATAAGATATTATAATCAGTTCACATGTTTTACTACTCTGCTATTTCTATTATTACCCTGTAAGGCCCTTACTAAACATAGGGGTTTGGTAAGTGCCAATACTGTGTTACAGTATCAAACCTACAGACTTGGTAAGCAGCGAGAGCTGGAAACAGTGTTAAGGATGAGGCTTTTACTACAGTCTCCCTCAAAAATCAGTATTAAGTGAGCAGTTTTCACCATGTATTGATACTGCCACAAACCCTTGAGTTTTACTCGAACAAGGAGGGAAAACACCATGTGAAATGCTGTGTGTTGTTTCTGCCCAGTTCTCCTGCAGGTTAAGTGCTACCGTGAAATGGGAGTGGGGTTTACAACAGGTGAGCAGTGTATTTACAAAAATAGTTGTCAGCAGGAAGGGTAATGAAGAAATATGGTCTTATGTGGCACTTGAGAACCTCTGAGCAACAGGTACTGACTTGACTCTGAGTAATTAACTCTAACCAGAAGTGAGAGGGTCCACGGTGAGCAGGAAAGGCTGCAAACTGGCCACACTAAATCGTTACCTCGAACTCTGATCCAAGAGCATATAGTGAGGAGATTTATTCAGTCTAAGTCTATTGATCTGGAGTCCTGTTCATTGAGGAAAATTGACATAAATGTGGTGTATCTGAGCAGGATGAGAAAGAAGGAAGCAAGGGGCTTCCTGGTAAAGTACCATCTGTACATTGGGTGTTTTATTACTGGTGTCAGACATGCTGTGGAAAGACTGTTTCAAGTAAAGGAGGCTCATCCAGCACCACCTCATCTGGGATGCCTTGAGAGCTAGTGTTACTTTTACAGATAAATTATAGGTAGGGTACTGCTAATACCATATAATGAGCTGTGTAAGAGTAGGAGGGAAGCTGTTTCTCTCTGTTTGATCTCTGATATAGTTGTGACTAAAATTCCTTCTAGTGAACTGCTTCACTCAATGGCTGCTCTCAAGCACTTTTATATACACTTTATATACACTTTAGTCTGATTGGCATCATCCTGTGTTGATATCTAGATAATTCTAGCAGCAATTGAAATCTCATGCTGCAGCTGAAGGCTGTGACTGAGTGGCTGCTTGTGCTGGATGAAGAGGAGGTCTAGATGCTGCCAGAAGCTGCACAGCTGCTTCCTGATTTCCTCAGCTCCTAGCTCAGGCTATGGTAAGCACTGCATTTCCCAGTATCACCTCGTCCATTGGTCCCATTTTCCTGCCACCACCACCATTCAGAAATCCCATAGTGGCTAGAAACCAATTTCAGAACTACCAGCTGGTAGGAAGATGGTCTAGGACATGCAGCAATATGACTGATGTTTCTAATCAGAAATACTGAATGTGGGTCCTGCAGCTAATAACAAAAGCTGCATTGAGTTTCCCAAGATGAAAAAAATTCATCTAGGGGTAAGGCCAGTTCTGCACTATAGTGAAAGGACAATCCTGCTCTCTAGGATAAGTTTTTCCATGCTCTCTTGTATGCCAGATTGTACTGTCCTATGCATTAAGGAACAACTCCAACCTTTCCTGTCAAACACTTCAACTAACACAAATTGGCATCTACCTTCATAAAAAACCTGAGGTTGTCCTATTGGACATGTCCTTTAAGCATGTCCTGCTCTGTAGTTAATGTGCGACTTCTTACATATCAGACTGTGGCTTAAGGATGAGATAGCTGAAATCCTCCAAACCTCCCAGGAGTGAGGCTGCAGAGTGGAGCTGTCACCAGCTTTCACATCCCTCCGTGATTACAATCTGTGGATTTAGACAATATGAACTGCTTCTTAAAAAAAAAAAAAAGACTGGATTAGATTTCACATCAACACATCTTACCTAAGGTCAAGATTCCTTCATGTTGCTATTAATTTTATTTTTTTAAAATAGATTTTTGTTAAAAAAAAATCCAGAACAGTGGTGACCTACAGAGCCCAGCTGTCCTTTAGGCAAGGATGTAGCAACACTCTCTTCACTGACATTGTATAAGCATGTTTTAGAAAGGTTTGTGTTTTTATTCTCAGTTTTTTGGATATGTACCTTTATTGTCTCTATATTTTTGCACATTTTCCCAAAAGTAACTATCACAAGTCTGCAACTTAGAACTGTTTCCATGTGTTGCTTCCAATATCTCACCTTTCTCTCTCATTTAGTCAGTGTTATGCTGGCTTCTCCATGCTCTAGATGGTTCTTGGAGTATTTTGTTACCTTTTTTTTTTTTTTTTCATAAAACCATCTACCTGATTCACTCCTCTTACTTTCTTCTAGAAACACTTGTAAGAACACACAGACCAAGAATGCAATCTCTTCTTGGGTTTGATAAAAGCATGTGCCAGGCTGCACACATGTTGCTGGAGACTTCTCACTCACCCATTCATATGTTACCCACTTGTCAGATGTGTAGTGAGTTACCTAAGTTAAAAGGATCCTACTGCTGCAGTTGGATATTGTAATGCAGTTCTATTTATTTATCTTTTTAAAAAGTAAAATGTCCTGTTCATGAACCCAAGTAATTAGTTCCTTCCTTATCTAAGCCTCTTTCCATTAGAATTCTGTCTGAAAACTTTCTCCTCAATTTCTTTTCTTTTTATCTGTGTGCTTGGGCAAGGGGACATTCTTCTAATCTTCTTGACTTCTTTACTTTTCCCCTCAAATACAGGTCTATCTAACAACAACTTGCATTTGTCTATGTTTTGGTTTGGGTACATGAATAAACTTGGTGGTGGTTTGGTTTAGTTTCGTTTTTCTTTTCTTTCCTAACACATCCAAACATGAAAGGATGTTTATCTCCAGAAACTTCAAGGATTGGTACACAGCCTGTAACAACGCTTATTCTTTCCTGGGTTCTCATTACCTGAAACAGATGGTAGAGGAAAATAGGAGTCCTGCAGGGTGTGTTCCCTGAGGAAAGCCATTGCCTTTAGTGACAGCTGGGCAAATGTCAATTTCTGACTCATAAGACATACATTTCATTAAAAAAAAAAAAAAAAAAAAAAAGAAAAAAAAAAGAAAAATCTTATTTGGAGGAAACACAACTTCTCAGACTTTCCTGCTGAATAAAAATGCTGAAACTTCTGCCCAGAATTCCAAAATCAGAAGTTTTATTGTCCCACTTGGAGTCTTCACAGATACATTTATTTGTATATTCTCTTGTATATCCTTCCACAGAGAAAAGAATTTACAGAAGGCCTTGAAAACACCTCCCTAATGCTGGAAACCAAAAAAAATGCTACTCTGATAGGTATCAAAGAAACAACATAAATTTCATATTTAATATGGAAAATATGCTTGAACTAACATGAACTCTACTCTGTACTCCAAAGCTTGTGTATATTCTGGGCCTAAATATCCTCTTGTTCTTCTGTACATAATATTGGAATACTTAAAAGAAACAGGACTGTTCCAAATCAATTTGAAATTTCTTTAGAAAGCTATATTGAAGCTGGGATATAGCCTCTTACTATTACAAAACTAGGATCCTTCTCTAAAAATGAGACCAAAATGTTCTTCCTACTGTATGTATTCTGGTTTATAAATGCATCTAAAATGACTCAAGCATGTTTCAGTACACAAAGCTCAGCATATCAATCCAGGACTTACGTGTCTGCTACATTAAAGCATTTGCAATTACGTCTGAATGCTTTGAACAAGGGATCTGGCACAAAATTCTCATAACATCACTGAACTCGAGTCATACTTCAGAAAGTGGGGACAGAAGTTAGCCTAAAGTGTGATTTGATGCTGAGGCAATTTGAGAATGAAAATGTCTCCTCACTGATGTCCCAATATCTGAAAAAGCACATCAAGCTCTGAAGCAGCCTCTGTTCACTAATGTACCCTGTTGCTTCACCTTGAACATGGTGTGCAGTGCTAACTTGGTCCAGAGAAAGCATTTTGATCTTATGAGTTGTTTTATATTATTTTAGGTTCTTATAGTAATATCTGATGCAATCAGGGCATATAATATTAATACATTACTAATAATAATATAATCAACACCTTCATAATAATAAAAACACTGTTGTAATATTTGGCCGTGCTCCACTGAGGGAAGAACTTTGTTACCAAAGTCAGGAGAAGTTGGACAAGCTGCAGTAGTGGTAGAAAAAGCTAGAAACAGTAAACTCTCTTGATTCTTACAAAGGGCAAGGCTTTAAATTACTTTAAGAAGAAGTGATGATTAGAATAGGTTTACAAGGATGAAGTCCAGATGTCTTTGAAGTCATAAAGTCTTAAGTTTATTTTTTTTCTTACTGACTTCAGAAGAGAAAGAAATCCCAAGTAGAAGAGCTTTCAAATAGACAGTAAATTAACTACTGAAGTGGAACAAGGACTAACCATAAATCTACAGAAATTACTTGAGCACAGACAGAGTCTCCATCTAGATCAGAGAAGGGCTCAGATAAGAAAGCCAACAGAATTAAAGACTGAAGAGATGGACAAAGACCAGACAGATACTGGAATAAAATGTAATCAGATATATTTGAGATGTTAGAAATATAGGACAAAATCTTTACCTGGTGTAGTTAGCATAGCAGCACCGAACTACCTTTGCTGCACCGCTGTATGCAGCAGTAGAAGTTGGTCCTTGTGACTTTATTCAAACTCTTATATTCACACTGGAAGTGTAATGTATTCTTTCAATACCAGAGTTGCTGTGCAAAGGCAATATTAAATTTCACAAAGGATTTCATTTCCAGGCAATCTAGTAAATTAATGTTTAATGAACATACGAGTCTTTATAATAAAGAATATTTCTAAGTAATAGAACTTCTTCGATCCAGCTTCTTCTTAAATGGTTTATTTTTATAATAACAAAGTGGAAAGTAATGAATTAAAGTAAAGTTTTTACCATTCTCAGGTCTTTATTACAGCAAAGAATCTCTAGGATACAAGGTGCATCCAACACTCAAACCTTCAGTTGTTTGGGCCAAACAGGTGAGTTAGGCCAACTTTGCTCTTTCCTCACTAGCCTGCACCACATTTTACTCTCCTCCTTTCTCGTATTCCTCTTACACCCAAATTCTTCCAATAGTGGTCTTGTTTTTCCAGGCTCACTGGTGGGCTCTACACTGCTACCTTCCAGTTTCTTGATGACTGCATTAACAGCCCTCAAGAAGCCTGGTTTTTCCTGTAACTCTTCTTCGAAATCTGCGTGGAAAGAGCTAACGTGATAAAACAACAAATTATCTTAATAAAGGAAGAGTGACCTTACAGAACAAACTCTGGCTTTTCTGCAAGCTTCAGAGCCTCGTGCATCCCTGCAGCTGATAGTTTCCGGTTGATATTCCTATATCTGCACTGCAGGAGGTTGCGATAAGTTGTCCTCAAGTCTCGATTGAAGAAGGCATATATAAAAGGGTTAATGAGAGAGTTTGCATAGCCCAACCACAGAAATGTTCTCTCAACCCAGAGTGGAATACAGCTGCATGCCGTCCCGCAGATGAAGGGCCTTGCAGTTGAGAGGAGGAAAAAGGGCAGCCAGCAGACAGTGAAAGCCCCAACAATAATCCCAAGGGTAGTGGCAGCTTTCTGTTCTCTTTTAAAGATGGAAATGTTTTTCTTGTCGTGCTTTAGGAGTCGTGAAAAATTAGCACATTCTTCAGATTCCTTGTGCAGTTTTACAACTCCATTCATAGAAATCCCTTCCGTTTCTTCTAGGCGGGGAAAACCAGTAAACTTGTGTTTAGCAGCACTCCTCTTGGCAGCTTTGTAAATCTGATAGTACATGAAAAGCATCACTGACATTGGGATATAAAATGCAACTGCTGTGGAGTAAATGGTGTAGCCGAAGTCTTGACTGATCAGACAAACCTTTTCGTCATTTACATTTT